CACACACACACACACACACACACACACACACACACACACACACACACACACACAGCACAGGTTGAAAAACACAACTCTCAACATTCTCTAAAAACAGTGGATCCCCCTGTAACCACCCTGCGTCGTTACAGCGAGGAAAAAACTATTACTGATGAAAAAGGAAGACACTACATGTGTTTTAAGCAGACATTCACAAAAGTTAAACAAGGTCCTCGACAAGCCAGCAGAACCAAGGATATGTTTAAGATTCTTCAAAATTGTTTTATTGCAGATGTGGAGGTTGTTCCGAGCTTCTAAGTATCATCGAACCAAACTAAAAGAAGGTTGACCTATATCTGTTGTCATCATTTACCCAAACAGTGGAGTAATTCTGCGGAGTTCACCATCATGCAATCAAACTGGCTGATTCAGGTGCCGTTAATGTCACTTATTACCCAAATGGTGAATTTAATGGAACTTTATCCATCATGTAACCAAACTGTCTGGTTTTGCAATTTTTTACCATTTTCTAATCAAACATTACAGAAGTTCTTCACCTTATACCATCATGTAAAAAATAACATATTAACCCTACCAACCTGTCAATCCCATTAGCACGACATTAATTACAAACTACAACTTTACCATGCTAACCACACTAACAAAAACTAATGTCACTAACTTATACATTTTGTCACCACACTAACTGAATACAAACTACCACTTTAACATATTAACCCCAAGGTAGGTTCTACACAAACCAGTTTCAACAAGACCACAGTAAAAAACAATGACATAAGTTCAGCACACGTGGTGTTTTTGGTTTTTTGTCAGTGTGTGTTATTTGTGAGTACTAACTCTTGTTGTTCCTATGAAGCAGTGATGAGGCGATCCAAGGCTCGGACTGGACCATCCTGCAGGAGGATCCAGTCTTGTCCTCCACAGATGATGATGTGACAACCATAGGAAGGTTTAGTCAAAGTTCAGTCCGGCAGGAAAACACAGTCTGTGCTTTAACAGGTTTTGGAAGGGGTGGAGCACTTAAGTAAATGTTATCAATCCCAGAGTTAACTTCAGCACTTTACATCCAACAAATGTATGAAGCTTGAAATGGTAGGAAGCTGACCAACCAATTAAAAAGGCACCTTCTTCTCCTGCTTGGTTTGTTTACTTATATTTTACAGACTTTAAGGCAACAAACAGGTATGCAGGCAGCTTGTCTCTCTGAAGTAAAAAATATAATAAATATCATCTCTTGTCTTCTGTGGAATTACACTATATAGATCTCTTGCTATACATATATATTCTATTTCTCTGTAGATATGGGGACTAAAAGAAGGCAAATTATTTAGCTTAGAGTTTTACTGAATGGGGTTTGACAGTTTCATGCATCTTGTGTGGGCTGGATGTTTTGCTGGTGACGTATCTTTCAGGTAGTCAAACGAACTTTGTTGTGTGTTGTGTAAATAAGAGCTTGCAAAAATAAGGAATAAAGTCAAACACTCTGTGTTCTTCTGAAAAAAAAAATCTAAAAGCACACAGGTAATTAATTATCCAGCTTCATTCCCTTATCTAGAGCAGGTATTTTGTGTGCAGTGAAATATAGAACCTCTAGTTATCCCAAATTATTAAGGCTACATGGTCAGTTTAGTTTCCACAAAGAACTTAATATGTTGATAAAATGTTTGCCTTTTTCTGGCCTAGTTGTAAAACATCAGGTTTCTGCCGATCCATGACAGGAAAAAAGTGCAACAGCTTGTAAAGAGGAAATAAAAAAAAAGGTGAAGGAGAGTCAGGTTTCCTGCTGCCTGTTTTACCCCATCCCAAACACTAAAAATAGATCCAATGGCAGTGGTCTTTTCGGGGTGGGGGTTGGTGGTGTACAGTTATCACTTAAATGAATCCTGTCGGACTGAGACGGTCCGGCAGAACCTTTGTCCTGTTCACCTGCTCTGAGCCTCTGACCCTAACTCCGAGAGGTCCCAACAAACAGATGTAAACAAACCGAACCAACGCTACTCGAAGCTGCCGTGTATCGGCTCCTCCGACCCACGGACCCAAACACTGTGCTCCAACGCTCTGGATCCAGGAAGAGACCGGGACACGAGTTTAAATCCAATCCGTGGAGACGCTGTTTACTTCTGTTCGCTTAAACAAAACGCAATCCAAAAGAAAAAAAATGTCTGATTTCAAATGTACAGCCAAGTTTTGAGATCCGCGTCAAAGTAAACAAGAAAAAAAAGAAAAGCAGAATCCAGAGTTCCCGAGCTTTGCTCCCCGCCTTTGGTTGCAGCGCGACGGGTTTGTCCTTCCGTCAGCCTCCGCTGTCTTCCTCACACTTTATCTGCTCCGGTATCGGACTTTCTCCAAACCAGGGCTGACCATGTTAACCCCCGGAGGTGGAAACTATCACTTGGGTGGTTCTAAATCATGGTTGTCGCCCGTTTCCCACTCCATACTCCGCGGTGGACCGAACCTGTGCTTCTCTGCCGTCCGGCTCCCCTTCCCGCCCGCTCTGTCAGGAATGTACCATTGCAGGCGGCACGGGGGAGGGGGGCTGCTCCGTCTCATGCAAACACACACAGCATGGACACAGAGTGAAACACGAGAAAAGCTCGGTTTTTTACGTGAAATGCCACGCACACTGCAAAAGGGATGATGCGCTGAAATTATAAAAACGTGTTTGAAAAACCGAAGCGAGTCCGCTGGTAGGGTCCCCCTCCCTCCGGTCACATTAGCCCGATCCAAGCTAACCTCTCCCGTCCTGTCCATTTATAGTAACAGAAGGATATATATACTAGGACTTTATATCCATGCAAACATGGACATTTTCCTCACACTTTTAAGAATTTCACTACACCTCTGATTAAAGTATATTTAACTCAGGTGACATAAAAACGAGTCTGAAGTTAAACAACAAAAACGGAGGTAGATTTAACTGTAACACATGTTTTGATGGGAAAAGAGTTATATTTGTCACTGACATGGCTATTTTTCTAATAATCGAATCAAAACACGTTTTAGAACAACTCAAAAATCACAATTTATTATGGGTATAACACAAAGTTTCACATGTTCCTTAGTTAGACGCAGCACCCACCTTCTATCACCACACACCCTCTGATGGCCCTGTTGCTACCCGACTCTGAGGCAGCTGCAATCCTATTGTCTGCAGGAAGTCCCACCCCTGGCTGTGATTGGCTAATGAGCCGGTCTGTGGGAGGGGCTTTCTTGTCTAACAGCGCTGTTCGGACTGAGGTAGAAACTGTGTGAAGATGTCAGGTAGAATCTGAAAGGACTCGGAGCAAGAAAAGGGTGGTGGTGGTGGTGGTGGGGGGGACAGAGGCAGTGGACTCAGAGACAGAAGAGGTGGTGGGGATAGAAATGTGGTCCTGAGAGACTCTGTACAGCTAAGATCTTCTCCTTATGATCCAGCAGCAGCACTTTCAGTCTAAATCTGGCACAATGCTACCTGGTAACAGCCAGGCTGTGTCCCAAACGGAGTGATCCTTTTGGGAAAACTCACCCTCTCACACAGACAAACTCACCCATACACACGTCACCCTTTCACCCAAAGAGTTACTCTCACATCCTGACAAACCCACTAAGACTAAAGTTCACTGACAATAAATGAATAAAGTAACAGGACAGAGCAAGTATATGCTTATGACACAGATGTATACTTGGTGAAAGATCAGAGGAAAACAAATACATTACTTCAAGTTACAACATCAAATACTTCTACAAAGGCTGCTGTCAGGTACTATCGAAGAACCTTAAAGAAAGTTGGTTTGTAGGTAAGAAACGGCTCAACTGGATAAAGAAAGTGAGTTTTAAAATGTACAAATGTCACAATAATTGTATTCAAAGAGGTCTCTGTTCATACAAGAAAAGAAATACAGGAGGTATAAATAAAACTTTTATTTATTGTAATGTATGTTTCTAACAAAGAAATAGGGGCCTTTGTATTTTCTGTGTGGTAAAATCATTAGCATATCTATTTTGTTGGATCAAACAATAAAATACAATAACATGTGTGATTCAGAAGATCAAAAACGAATCATAAAATTGGTTTTGTCTTTGTTGCTCCATTAGAATCATAATAAATGTGTTACTGTCAGTATTTAAGGTGAAATAGACAAAGACAATCAGTGGCCTACTGTGTGCATGTTTGCAATGACTTTCCTCAAACCTTACGTTTAGTTGAACAGTTACAAATAGGGCTGTGTATTGGCAAGAATTTGGCGATACGATACATATCATAACAGAGGGGTCACGATACGATATATCTCGATATATTGCGATACTGTAAGCAAGGCAATATATTGCGATTTTTTTGTCCAAAAATTCTATTAAATAAAAACCTCTTACTGGAAAAAAAAAAAGAAAAGCTAATGTTTACTTACAATGCTAATGCTACCCTTATTCTCCAGCACTAAAGAGGTAGAGGAGCCAAATGGCTGGCTCACTGCTGCCAACTAGTGGCCAGAGGCTGAACTACAACATAAAAATTAATGGTTGGCAAGAAGGTTGACATTTTAAACCTTAATAAAAAAATCGATACAGGGCTTTAGAATATCGATACAGTATCGGGAAATGAAATATCGCGATATTTCAGTGTATCGATATTTTCTTACGCCCCTAGTTACAAACTTGTGTTTCTGATGAAAGTTACAAAAAACACAGTCCAACAGAACTCTCTAGGTTTTATTTGCTATGTAATAATTACAGTAACATCCATCCATTTACCTGCTTTTTTTCTGTGAGGAGGCAGGGAGCTGGTGCCAATCTGCAGCTTTCAGCTGTGAGAGAGGCGGGTTACACCCTGGACAGGTCACAAGTCCATCCTGACCACTTACAGTAACGGTTAACAAAAAGCCTCTTAGGATAAAAAAAATCTACTAAAGCGCTGTGTCTGACTTTTACCATTAACTATGACTGACATGTAATGTTTCCTTGAAATAGAAATAACAGTATTTACATAATTTAAAATACTAGCCAAAGAAGGATCTGTTTAGTAACATTTGTTGCAGGAAATAAAGCCCTTTTTGTCATCAAAGCTGTTGTGTGTAAACTGCCAACATAAATCATCTGTTTGTCTTTAAAAGAGCCTCTGTGTTGTTCTTGTGTTTTTTTCTTTTAAAACCAAGCTATAGCAGCCCTGTAAACCGGTTCAGTTTAAAATGATTTTAATACTTTTATTTTTAATACTGATTTAACTATATTTAATAATAAATACAAAATATCATGAAATTAGGGACATCTGTTTTGTTGCTGTGCTCTATTTAGGTGTTTTCCCTCTTTTGAAAAGGTTCAAATATATTGTTCATTAGGTGAATATAGGAAAACAAGCTTTGTATTTATTCCATTTCCATTCATAAACTTAGCGCCTTGCTTCCAGTAAATGATGTTGAGCTGTACTTGGGGCCAGACAGTTAAGATTACAGCAGAAAAGGCAAGCACACTCTGAGATTCACGTGCCTTGCAGCAATATTCCACCCAGCAACTACACACTGTACCATGGCAACAGCCCTGCCATTGGTCTCTAGTGCATTTTCATTTGACCAATAGAATGGCCAGCCATGGGTGATGCTTGTTGCTAGGTAAACATGATGCAGAGTTAAGATAGAAGAACAGAATAACCATACAGTTACTGCAGGGTGCTTTCAGCAAGAAGTGGAGGAGCACTTCACACTAAGATAACCTTCTCTTTCCAAGCACTTGGTGGTGCCATAGAGCCAAACCAAAACCAACAAATGACGGCAAAAGAATATTATATATATATAATTTAAAAAGTTTTCATCACCTTGGATGTTTTCTGCTTTTTTTCAGCTGTCATAAATTAATCATGGACAATATAAATTGTCCTTTTTTAATTTAAAAAAAACACTTCCACGTCAAAGTGAAATCAGTTTTCTACAGAGGGGGCTATTGCTTTTCTTTCAGCTGCTCCCTTCTGCAAGGGTCTCTACAGCATAAAAGATTTATCAATTTTTTTTATTCCGGATGTCCTTTCTGAGACAAACTGGGCTCAAACCTGCAGCTTCAGTACTACAACACTGACCACCAAGCTACCCTAGCCCCCAAATTACTACACAATAATTGGGTTAAAGAAAAATATGTCATGTAACGTAAGCGATTGCATAAATGTTTGCCCTCTTCAAGTGTCTGTTTTATTTTAACTCAGAGAAAAGATGATTTAAAAGTACAAGTCAGGATAGATACAAAAGGATATCTGAGGCAGGAGTTCTGTTTTACATTCATCATCAAGAAGGAGGAATACAGGACGTGACAAAACATTAAAGACTGGTAATTTTCAGGGACATTGTTTCTCTACATCACTTAAAATACAACTTTAAACACCTGCCATAGAGTGAATAATCAGCTAATGTATACATATAGCAAGATTTAAATAGACTGAAATATAGTTTACAAAATAATAATAATAATTTGATTTTATTTAGTGTTATTTTAAATCAGTTTTTATTAGACCAGATCCACTTATAGATTGACATGTTTTCAGACTGAGTTCAGAAGTTATTGATGATTTCTTTTTATGATCACATCAGGTTACAGCATGTGTCAAACTCAGGGCCCACGGGCCAAACGTGGCCCGCCACGGCATTTTATGTGGCTCACAAGGGCTTCAAAGATGTATTGTCTTAATAGAAGCGATTGCTGCTTTAAGATTAGCATTGACCATAAATTAAATCTCCCATATTACATTTTGATTTTACCTGTGAATTGACAGCAACCCACCAGTATTTGGAGGTGAACAGGGTTCAAAAGCTAGCCGGCAAAATTGGCAGTGCAAAATCTCCATTTCGCCACATTTTTGCTGCGGCCCAGTTGTATTCAGTGGGAATTCCTTCAGAAATTGGGAGATTTCATAATTCAAGACAGCAACTAATTACCACAACTAAATAGTGAGTAAAACTCTTACTTTTAATATTTCTGTATTATTAATTCACATTTAGTCAGTCATACACTTGGTATTTTTTCGGTGTTTATAAGAAAACATGATAAAATGCTGTTTCTGTACATTAAACCACAAAGAGCCCAGTTTTTTTTGTGGTTTTCAGCTGTGGCAATGAAACGAGGAATGCGACTTTTTTTGGCCAAATTAAACAAAATGTTGATGTTAATTACAACTGACCCTTTCAGGGCCACCATAATGCTCACGTGGCCTTTGGTAAAAATGAGTGTCACCCCTGGTTTGACGCAGTTTTAGCTTAAATAGTTACCAGTGGCTGCAGAGTTAACCAAGAGTGTAAGGCATTGATGTCTGAGTATTTTTGCCAAAGTGTCTTATTAAGATATAAAAGCCTAGTCTTAACTTACAAAAGAGTTTAAACTCAACACCACAGAGCGCAGGTTTGAATCTCTGAGCTAGCACAGCTACCAGCTGAACGAAGCAGCTTCCTTACTTTGACTTAAAGCCAGTACTTCACCTAAACATTGCCAGAAGTTCCAGGAGTTTATTTTTTCAGCTTCCTCAGAAGAAGTTGGGACGAAGGTTTAGCTGT